CTTATCTCTCGAATTCTGCCCTCGTGATCCAGTAGTTGTTTATCTCTCTTTTTCTCAGCTTCTTTATTTTCCATCATTTTGTCTTCTATATCACTGATTCTCTCTTCTGCCTCATTTATCCTAGCAGTTAGAGCATCCATTTTTTATTGCACCTCATTAATAGCCTTTTTGATTTTGACTTGGTTAGATTTTAGTTCTTTTATTTTTCCAGAAAGGGTTTCTCTAATACCTTCCATGCTTTTTTCAAGCCCAGGTAGTATCTTTAAAATCGTCATTCTGAACTCTATTTCCGACATCTTACTACTGTCCATATTGATTAGGTCCCTGGCAGTCAGTACTGCCTCTTGTTCTTTTTTTTTTGAGGTGATTTTTTTCCATCTTGTCATTTTGTCCAGAGGAGAACAGATGAATGAGAGAACAAAATGCTAACAGGGTAACAACAACCCCAGAAAAATATAAACTAAACAAATCAGGAAAGACCTGAAACCAGAGGAAAAGAAAGGGAAAGAATGAAAAGAAAAAAAAAAAAAAGAATAAAAAAAAAGCATATGATCAAATATGATCAGGCTGGTGCATAGATCAGTGCCACACACTAGATTTTGGGCGTATTTTGGTCTGTTAGAAGAAACGGCCTCCCAAAATTTTAAAGAATGGAAAGCTTATATATGTACAAAAATTAGGGTAAATACGATGAAGGGATGGAATGTGACTGTAAAGATGAAAATTATAAAAGATTTTATAAAAGGAATTGATAAGATAAGAAGTTGGTTGAAAAAAGAAAGAAGAGAAATTTAAAAAAGGGGGGAGAATGTGATCGGGCAGGAAACTAAAACAAAGCCATACACTATAGAGATTTAGGGTATATTTTGGTCTGTTAGAAGAAGCTGTATCCCAAAATTTTAAAGAGAGAACAACATATATATATACACCAAAAATAAGGTTAACTACTATGAAGGGATAGAATATGACTCTAAAAATGAAAAATAAAAAAGATTTTTAAAAAAGGAATTGATAAGATGTTGGTTGAAAAAGGGAAAAAGAAAAATTCAAAAAAATAGAAAAAGAAAAAGGAAAATTAAAAAAATTAACTTTGAAAGACTAAAGAATCAGGGGGGAAAAAGTCATGAATTCTTTGTGCTGCATTCCCCTAGTGCTGGAATTCTGGACCTAAGACTTATTTTTAACAAAATTCTGCAACATCAAGTCAAAGTCACTTCTACATTGACATCATGGTAATCTCTGCACTTTTAAGAATTTTAAGACACTCCCCATTTTCCTCAGCACCTTTCTTAATTTCCTTTAACAAACTGCCTTTCAGACTAATAGGTTTTGTTTTCTGCATTTCTTAAGTAATACTAAAAATTCATTCTTTCAGTAGGTATTTAGAAATGAACAAAAGAAGATTTTGAAATATGTCTAGTATATTTTATACCAGTTTTGAACTGATACAAGTATTGAATTTTTTTTTGCAGGTTTTAGATTTTCATTCTGACGGAAAATTTAAAAGAGGACTTCTAAAATCATTCCAGATACTAAAAAAAACCCACTCTAGTCTTACAGTAAATTATCTGAAGTAGAAAATTCAGCTTTCTATGTATACAAATATAGAAAATACTATAAAATGCTCTTAAAGATATTAGTTATGCTTATTCTTACACCTATTTTACACTATGAATATGTGTTAAATATTGTTAGCACAAAACAAACTATAAATTTGTATTAGTTGCATAATATTAATAACACTGTACAAGAATGACTTGTCTTCATCTTAATTTTTGAGGATTAGAGATGTGGTTAAGAGGAATAAACATTTACATGAGGTCATAAATGAAGTACCATGATTCAGCTCTTATTTTCCTTCTTTATAAATAAAAGGACAAGAATGTATGTGTTTTATATGGGTATGAGTTTTATTTTAACTCCATAGCTTAAACCTGAGAAAAGAAATTCTGGGCTTGTAAATTTAAGACCTTAACCGAGATAATGGTTAGAAACCTGGTTTAGATAAACCTCATTTCGTCCTTCAGCTTTATGAGCCAAACCAGTAAACTCCAGTTTTTGGTTCTATGGCAGCAGAGCTATTGTTAATTAGGGTGAGGGGTCCCTGTGAAATATACCTGGAGAGAGGTACTCCAGGCACTTAGGCATGTGTCTGCCTTCACTCACAGTTTGCACAATTACATAAAATAAATGTTATGAAATTTATTCTGTGTAAGACCGAAAAAAAGGAACAAAAAGTTAGAATCCTTGAGTGACTGAATGGAGCAGCAGAAATGCTCTAGGTATAGTCAAAATTTGAGCCTAATCACATAACAGTCAGACCTTATCTTTATTGGCATAACACACGAGAAGCTTAAAATTTGATCGATACGGTAAACCTATGAGCAATGTCTCAAATCACACCCCTAGCTCTTACTGCTCTTTGCTCTCCACACAAGTTAGCATTTTTCTTCAAAAGTATTATTATTTTCTGACCAAAATTATCTAAGTAACTGCCTTAACTTTGCTTTGCTAAGAAGAACTTCACCAATTAATATTTATTAGGGACCTAATGTATGTCCTGATTTTTCTTCATGCTTCCTAAATTTAGAGCTTTGAGGGCAATAACCTAGAAAATGACATCATCACTTATCATATGATCATTTTAAACCAGTATGTGGTTTTAGTTACCAAAAAAATCATTCCCTACATTTCTAAATTTTAAGTGCTTTTTGAATAATGATCTGAGTTAAGGTATGCTTGACATTTGATTATGAAAAGAGACCATTTAAAAGTATAGATTTTACAGTGGCTTATAAAAATAAAAAAGTGACAATATAGTTGCTACAGGGAAATTGTGTAGTGGCTACAAGCCTATTTTTTAGATCACAAAATTTCATTTAATATGAGTATGCTGTTATCAAATTCATCAGTTACACCACCCAGCAACATACAGCTCAACAACAACCTTTCAGTATTTTGCACTGTCTATATATTCATTAACTTGTTAAACCAATCCTCAGCTGTCATGTTTGCTTGTTTTTATTATTAACCAAATACAGTCATGGGGCTCATTAAAAGAAAAAAAAATGAATTGATTTCCTAAGATCACTGAACTTTTTAATGCCAACATGACAATTAAGGCAAAAAATAATTCATACACAATATTTATGCTCCAGAATCAAGAAGGTCCTGGAAAAAGCTGACATGCACAAAAAAAAACATGTTACATTTTGTTATTATACACTTGTAAACATATCCTGTGAAATATGTAAAAAAAAGTCTTGTTTGAAAATAGCATTATCCCTGATTCTCATAAATTACTTATATCTGGAAATGAATGTAGTATGACAATGACAATTTCGAAGAAGTTTGTTCAAAACCGATGTCAATAACATTTTGTTCAGATAGCTTCTGAAGCACTGTTAGGAAAAACTAATTTTAATTCATTCTCAAAAAAGAAAATATTTGGGAAAAAAAAAAAAAAAGCAAGAGGCGCCTGGGTGGCTCAGTCAGTTAAGCATCAGACTCTTGATTTTGGCTCAGGTCATGATCTCAGGATTTTGAGATCAAGAACCACCTTGGGCTCTGTGCTGGGCATGGAGCCTGCTTAAGATTCTCTCTCTCCCTCTGCCCCTATCCCATCTCCCACCCCCACCCCCTGCTCACAGGTGCCCTAAATAAATAAGAAAAAAAGAAAAAATGTGTTAGCTTTGTACTTTTACCTTACTCAAAAACAGCTGAAGTTAAAAAAATAAAGTTTCCCCTGAGAAGACATTTGTAAAATGAGTAAAAAAAAAAAAATGAAAAACAACATAGAAAATGTCAAATACATTACTAGCCACAGGTATGCTGATGAAGCCTTACATATAATTTTGGTCTGTTTGGACAAATACATTGCAAGAATTACTTAAAATCAGATCACAATCAGTTTATATATAGTATATGATTGCTTACATTTCCAGTGATTTCTAGAAACATTGTTTTCTTAAATTATTTGGACAAATGCTAGCAGGATTTGCATTAAAATTGATTTCTCTGCAACAGATTGATAAAATATTCTAGCACATACCATTTTCTTACACTGGACTCAAAGATGAATTTCCTCTAATAATCCGCTTAGCATTAAGAAAGAATAAAAAAAGCTCACAAACTCACTTTAATTTAAATTTGCATTCAGGAAGTTCTTGTCTGATATAATTCAGCTGATAAATATGAACCTATGTGTTTATCAAATCCCTAAGAAGATTATCTAAATCAACTCCGTGTAATTACCATTCACCATCTGTTCCACCAGGGCCTGAGCTGATCTGCTGGCATCTTGCAGTTTTCTGAACTTCTCGGCTTTTTCTCGCTCTATGGCCTGCAGCATGACAGCAAAGGTGAGTATTTCAATACAAAGATTGTGAAGCTACACAGTAATTATAACTTCTACTTGCCCTTTCAAGACTTAAGATATTTCACTCTGTCAGCTTATCGTGTGAATCTAAAGATTTTTTTTTCCTCAAGTTTCTTGGCACCAGAAGCATCCAAATGACAATGAAAGCACAAGCCATTTTCATATTGAATTGCTACTACTTTTAAAAAGATTTCTACTCTTAACTTTTTTTTTTTTTACACAATAGTTTCTGATGCACTGTAATATAAGGCTGCAAAAAAAACCACAAAAAAACAAAAGCAAATAATAAGAAACAATGAAAGTATAAAGTGACAGAGATAGATAATTAAAACTTAAATTTGTCTTTTAAATACACACCACTGAAATTACTCCTAATAACTTAAGTACGTATTCTGTATTAAAAATCAAATAGAAAGTCTTGTAAGTATATGAAGAGGGAAAAGCACATTAGAATGAATAATTTAGCAAAAAAACCCATATTTACCTAAATACAAGACTACAGGTTAATTTTTCTCTCTAAAACTTTCAAAGTACTCCCATTTCAAGGAAAAATAGATTCAGTTTCGAAAAGCTTTCTAAATTCTTTTGTTCATTTCTAACTTAAACATAACTTTTGAACAACAAAACCACAATGATTTCAATTAACAAAATCTAGCATTTAATACTGTTGGGTTTAGTTAATAATGTCTCTACAGATATATATTACATATACATAAGATATATATTATATATATTAAACTATGATACAACTTAACTGTATTATCATAATCATTAGCTTTGTACTTTTACAAAAAAATATGTGGCTATAACATTATGTTATGTGTCCTAAAACATAACTACCTGCAGAAAAAGCAAGCTTTAAAGCATTTAACATATAGTTGGAGCAATACTCCTGTGACCCAAAAATAGCATCATACAAAGATTTCACTTGAGTTTGTGACAGGAGGTTATTCCATATCCAACTTTTTTTTTAAATTTTAATTCGATCTATACGTCTCTAAAGAAATGTTACAGGGTATAATATCAGAGTACAGGTAGGAGGCCTGTAATCAACATGTGCACACTCTGCAGAGCATTGTTCAATAGAACTTTCTGCAAGCATGAAAATATTATAGATCTGTGCTGTCCAATACAGTAGCCATTAGCCACATGTGGGTACTGAGTACTTGAAAGGTAGCAAGTGTGACTAAGGAAACTAATTTTTCATCTAATATAATTAAATTTAAATTTAAAAAGCTACCATGTGTCAAGTGCCCATTGTAATTCTACAGCACAGATCTAGTGCCTTCCCTTTTGAAAGCCAATAAAGACAGACAGAAAGACAGACATGTAGACTAAATACAGATGAAGATACTATGGCAACATCAGAAATACATTCAGAGAAATAAGTAATCATCTTATTGCTAAACTAGACTATTTCCCAAGCACACCAAATGATAGGAATGCTCACACTATAACCCATACATTCTAAAATATTTAAAATGATTCTCCAATTTAAAGAAATAACCACAATTAAAAAGAAGCCTTTTAAAATTGGATTTAAGACAGAGTTTCATGAACTGGGATTATTGGATTCAGGGTCAAGAATGCAAAGTGCTGGAGGAAAAAGATGGTGAAGGAGTAGGGGACCCTATTTCAACTGGTCCCTGGAATTGAGCTGGATATCTACCAGACCACTCTGAGCACCCACAAAACCAGCCTGAGATGTAAGAAGATCTGGATCTCTAGAAGCAGAATATCACAGGCAGTTGATTTCCAGGTGAGCCCAGATTCTGTGGGCAGATATCGGAGGATAAACGGCAGCGGGAGGGAGCCTGGCCGTGGGGATCCAACACCGCCAGTGAGTGACAGCCTCCTGCGCGGGGGACGGGGCACAGACTCGCAGACCTGTAGCGGCTGGGAAAGGACTTTAGGGCAGCCCCTGGGGTGGAAACCTGGAATGGAGGGGTCGCGACTGCAACCTGGGCGCAGCTGGCGGTTTTAGAAGCACAAAGGGCAGAAATGGGCCCCAACCTGGAGGCAGGACTGGGGGTGTTGTGGAGGGGTGCACAACCCAGGACTCTGCAGTTTATAGCAGCACGGACAGAAATGGAGACAGTGTGGCCTGGAGAGCTCACTGAAGAACAGACTGGGATCTCTCTGCTCTGAGGCAGAAGGTTGGAAACAGTCTCTTCTGCTCTCTCGAAAGAGACGCAGAAAGCCACCAGGGAAAGCCACCAGAGAACAAAAGCCCCCCAAAACTAGTTCCCACTGAGTCCACTCCTCACCACAGGGGAGCAGGGCAACTCTGCCCAAACAGGGTTGCCAGAGTAACAGCATGGCAGGCCCCTCCCTCAGAAGACAGGCTGGGAAAACAAGAGGCCAGCAACCCTAAGGTCCCGAGAAAACAGGTGCATCTTGCTTGGGTTCTGGTCAATAATTTGGATGCTACACATTCCCTCAACCACTCATCAACAGAATGACTAGGAGGAGGAACCCCCAAAATAGGAAAGACTCAGAGATTAGGACTTATGCAGCAGATTTACAAATGGATGCAGATATAACCAAGATGTCGGAGATGGAATTCAGGCTAGCAATTGTGAA